TCGCGATCTCGCGGTCCGTGAGTTCGAGCCCCGCGTCGGGCTCTGGGCTGATGGCTCAGAGCCTGGAGCCTGTTTCCGATTCTGTGTCTCCCTCTCTCTCTGCCCCTCCCCCGTTCATGCTCTGTCTCTCTCTATCCCAAAAATAAATAAAACGTTGAAAAAAAAAAAAAATTTTAAATATGGCTAAAGGTGGTTTATTTTATTGACACCAGCAGTTGATTAATAGCTTTAACTTTAATATTTAAAAAGGGTTTTTACAAGAAATTTTTATAAGAGATTGAAACGAAATCAAAGCCATCTCATTTAACGGCCATTTTTGTGTAGAATAAACTTAAAGGTTAAAGTCTGTATAGTTCATGTGCATTAGAATGATTTTCATTGACTTTTTCCCTTTATATAATCCACTGGTTAAAAATGGAAAACTTAAGCTTCCCGTAGTAGCAGTGTTATGGAAGTTTATCAGGGGCACATTTTTTCTAAATTGATTCATTCAACATTAATTGAGAGAGTCTGATTTGTACCGCATACTGTTGTAGAGGTGGGGATTTAACGGTAAATAAGATAAGATAAAACTCTTCATCTTCCTGGAGCTTACACATTCTAAATGAACAGAAAATATTCATAATGGCTAACATTTATTGAATGCTTCCTATATGCCAGGTATTGTACTAATCATTTTGTATCCAGTATTTTATTCTCATGATAATCCTATGACATTTATACTTTTATTATCTCCAAGTTACAAATAAGGGTACAGTCATAGAGAACTTAGGTAGCATGCCTAAAGTTTCCCAGCTTCACATAAAGACATAATGTAGTGCTAATATGTATTCAGAAAGGCATATTTCTTAAAGTGTACATTGTTGGCAGTTCCTGAGAAATAGGATAAAATTTCTGAGGTCATGAAAATACCTCTAGCTGTAAAATGTTGACTTCCCTTTACCAGAAGAACCCCATTCACAATGAATTATATATAAGTTTTGCCACTATATTTTACTGATTTTACCATATGGCTAAAGCAATTTAAATGTACTGTTTTAGTATTGGCTGTATTTCTCATCTGCTTTAGTTTTTTAAAAATATTTATTTATCTTTGGGAGAGATTGAGTATGCAGGGGGGTGGAAGGGCCAAGAAAGAGGGAGACAGAGAATCCCAAGCAGGCTCCGTGCTGTCAGCACAGAGCCTGACACAGGGCTTGAACTCACGAATGGTGAGATCATGACCTAAGCTGAAATCAAAAGTCAAGCACGTAACTGACTGAGCCATCCAGGCGCCTCCTCATTTGCCTTAATATTTTGCCAGTAATGGGCATAGAGAAAGTAAGAATGAGGATTTCTTCAGAGCTTTGCATAAACAGTATTTACAGTTTTATAATACATCAGAATGTATTATAATATGCATCTAGTATATACTTTTAGAAATTCCAACTTTTTGCCATTTTCATTCACTAAAATGCATAGATGTTCTTAAATATTATTGAATTTAATAAAAAATTTATCTTGTAAGCTTTAATAAAAGTCTAAAGATTTTAGGAACTGATCTTAAGTTGATTTGCTTTGCTTTCCAGACTCAGAAGTCCCTAGAGAAAGTTCAAACGAAGATTCTCTGCTAGAATGGTTGAACACGTTTCGACGCACGGGAAACGCGACCCGAAGTGGACAAAACGGGAACCAAACTTGGAGAGCTGTGAGTCGAACAAACCCAAACAGTGGAGAGTTTCGGTTTAGTCTGGAAATCCATATAAATCATGAGAATAGAGAAATTGAAATTCATGGCGAAGATGAGACAGGCATTCCACTTTCAGATTTTGGCAGGGATCGTACTACAAATAGGCAACAGAGGTCAGCCAGTCCTGTGGCTAGGCGAACGCGAAGCCAAACCTCCATGAATCACAGTGGTAGTAGCTCCAACATCCCAAGGACTAGGCTCGGTTCAAGGGGGCAGAATTCAGCAGAAGGATCTTTCTCAACATTGGGAAGATTAAGAAATGGCGTTGGGGGAGCAGTTGGCATTCCTAGAACGAGAGCTCCGCGTGCTGATTTCGGTAGTCATGCAAACCAGTTGGGTGGTAGTGAACTCAGGCAGAGGGAGGGGCAACGGTTTGGAGCAGCACATGTTTGGGAAAATGGGGCTAGAACTAATGTTACAGTGAGGAATACAAACCAAAGATTAGAGCCAATAAGATTACGGCCTGCTTTCAGTAGTCGAAGCCGCTCGCCAATTCAGAGACAAAGTGGCACTGTTTATCGTAACTCACAGAGAGAAAGTAGACCTTTACAGCAAAACATCAGAAGGTCTGTTAGGAGGAGAGGTATAACGCGTGTCTTTTTAGAGCAGGATAGGGAACGTAGAGGTACTGCCTATGCTCCATTCTCTAACTCAAGACTTGTGTCAAGAATAACAGTAGAGGAAGGAGAAGAATCTAGCAGATCTTCAACTGCTACACGACGACATCCGACAATCACACTGGACCTCCAAGTGAGAAGGATTCGTCCTGGAGAAAACAGAGATCGGGATAGTATTGCAAGTAGAACTCGATCTAGGGTAGGGCTAGCGGAAAATACAGTCACTATCGAAAGCAATAGTGGGGGCTTTCGCCGAACTATTTCTCGTTTAGAGCGGTCAGGTGTTCAAACCTATGTTAGCACTATCACAGTTCCTCTTCGGAGGATTTCTGAGAATGAGCTTGTGGAACCGTCATCAGTGGCTCTTCGGTCCATTTTAAGGCAGATCATGACTGGATTTGGAGAATTGAGTTCTTTAATGGAGGCCGAATCTGAGTCAGAGGTTCCGAGACCTGGTCAGCATTTACCAGAGAGGCACTCAGATCTGAGCACCGTAGGTGCAGTTAATGACATCAGCCAGCACAGTGAAGGTTCCTCTCAATACAGGCGGGCCCGAGAAGACAGCTCTGAAATGCGTGGTGAAAACGAGACTCCCCAGCCTCCCGCCCGAAACAGTGATAGCAGAGGTGGCCGGCAGTCGCGAAATTCAAATAACTTAGTTGAAACTGGAACACTACCTATCCTTCGCCTTGCTCATTTCTTTTTACTAAATGAAGGTGATGACGAGGATCACATACGTGGTTTAACCAAAGAGCAGATTGACAATCTTTCCACCCGGAACTATGAGCATAGCAGTATCGATAGTGACCTAGGCAAAATCTGTAGTGTTTGCATCAGTGACTATGTGACTGGAAACAAGCTCAGGCAATTACCTTGCATGCACGAATTTCACATTCATTGTATTGACCGCTGGCTCTCAGAGAATTGCACTTGCCCCATCTGTCGGCAGCCTGTTCTAGGGTCCAGCATAGCAAACAATGGGTGAAGCGTTGGGTCTGTTCAAATAGTACATTTTAGTAGAGCTGAGTATTTAAGCACCCTTTTGTTGAATTCTTTGTGATGAGCTAACCAGGATGAAAAAGAACAGATTATTATAGTTTGCACTATTTTTTGTGTGCTTTTTTAACTTGTTAAAAAGAAAATTTATATAAAACTTAAAATGGCAAATGTTAAATTATCGACAAGTACAGAATAGTCAATATTGCTAGAACCAAATAATCTTTAAAATGTTCTTATTTTGGTAATTTCGTCATGCTAAGCACTTTTGTATCTGCACAATTCAGTAGGTTAACAATCAATCTTCCTTTTCTTAACAGCACAGCAGACTTTATGTGGACTTTCAACTTCCATAGGCTTAGTGCCATGTCCAGACAATGGTGTCTAAATAAGCCTTTCGTTAACTTTTTATTGTAAGGACAATATCTTTTCATGAGAGAGTGTTTGGCTGAATGTTTGCTCTATATATTTAAGTTACTTGAAATGTTAAATTTAATATGCAGCATACCATATATGTATATATAGATATATAATTTTAAGGGTAAAATATTCCGTCTAAAAACTACCAGTTTGGTTCTTATTTAAGCTTTTGGGCTATTACTGCATATGGCACAATGTGTAACATTTACAGGATCATCTCTGGGAGGAAGTAGATATTTAAAAATAGAGATAATTTACTGAAGCGTCTCTGACAATCTTACTAGACAGCAAGCAATATGTAATACTGAACAAGTATTTCTTTACTCAGAAATGGAACATGGACATTTTAGTACATATAGATTATTTAACTTGCGTTCGGCCTTTTTGTGACTTGTTTGAATGTGCAAACAATTCTTTGGATTATATTAAGGTATACAAATATGCATGGTTTCTCAAATTTACTTTTAAAATCTAAAAAAAAAAAAATGTCTATGAAGAATCAAATGCATAGATAATGTGTTAAGTTTACTTGGAGGCCAAAAACTCCAAATAATACAAAACAAAAAACCCTTAAGAGAATGTGGAATTTATATGAACACGAAGTATGCATTGAAGATCTATTTCTACCAATAAATATTAAAACAAAGCTGTATGTGAACTTCTTTTCTCTTGGTCCCCTGTGATTTATTTTTCAAAAAAAGAAAAATTTCACACCTACAAGGTGTCAGACAGTGTTACAGGTGCTGAGGATTCAGCTGAGGACAGAGTACCTATCTTCACAGGAAGAGAACATTTAATGAGTTACTGAATTAAATGAATATATGACACAGTTTTCCTGTGGTGATACTGCTTGGGGAAAACCACAAGAACAAATTCCTCAGGACCAGATTCGGGAAGATTTACGTGTATCTCAAGATTGTTTTTCCTTCTGATTAAGTAACTATATTCATCAGGTAAGATGCATACTTCAGGGAGTGCATTTAACACCTGGAGGGAAAGCTTTTAGTAAGAGTCATGACTTTGTTTGGAGTAAATGGTTTATGTAGATCAATCATGGGGCTGGGAGGTTTGAATGCTTTAAATGCCAGACTAAGGAATTTTACTTCACCTTACAAACTTTTGGTGTCTCTTGGTGAATTTAGTGGCGAATGGTAAGATCATTTTTCATGTTTCAGGAAAATTGGTGTGGTGTAGTGTTCATAACACAATGGAGTAGAGAGAAGGGGGAAGCAAAAAAACCTTAATAAAGGAACCACTGTGGTCATTTTTGTCATCCGTTATCCTCATCCTCAGTTACTAGCTAACCTAGCGCGATGGCAGTGAAACTGGAAAGAGAGAGAAGAGAATAAAAATGTTGGGAAAAAAGGACATTATTTGGTTTCTTGTTCAGTATGAAGTGGGAGAGTGATATATTCACAGATGGAAAATCGCCCGAATAGAAGAGAGAGAGGTGTTACAAGCTATGCCAATGTAGACATTTATCTTAAATATGCACCTCTCCCTCGTTTCAGTGATACCATTTGTTCCCAGTATGACCAGAGACTAAATCCAGCATTTTTTGCTCATGTGGAATATTCTTCAGGAAGTTCTACCTTCCCTGGCTTGATCAGTTAGGAAAATCAAGAGGAGAACAAAGAAAGGGGGAAATGAAAAAAAGTAGGGATAAAGGAAAAAATACAAGCACGTTGATTCTTTGACTTAGTCCTTTGCAAGACATGGTAGGACCAGCATTGAAGGGACCCCAAATCGGCATTTGAAATAGAACTACATTGTACAGTTTATGGAAAATTCCCGCTAAGCAGCAGGCTTCATATATTTTGTAAATTGGTATCCTAGTCGGGAACAAAGGAGTGTTTTCTGTAATATTTTCATTCATTTCCCAGTAAACAAAGCTGATGACAAATACAAAGGCTCTTTATCTATTTATAGCCTCTATTTAGCAATGATTGCATGCCTTATGGTTCCAATATAGAAAGGAACAAATAGTTTGAAACGCTTCATTTGAATATTGTGCTCCATGTTGTGTCCTTAGAGCTTATTCTTTATAGTGTGGCTGCCTTGCAAACTTGTATTTCAAAACTGTCAGCCTCCCACCTGCTTTCCCTCTTGTATCCCAGATGTGTATAGTTTCAAGTAGCATTGACCTGTACTTGACTACCTTTTATTTGCCCTGTGGTTATTTTCCTTTCAGTTTTTAACGTGAATTTATAATTTAAGCCTCCCAAGATCTTGAAGTATTATTGCCACTTCACATAGTGAGTAGCAGAGTTCAGAGTCACACACAGGACCGTTTGCCTCCAAAGCTTGTGCTTTTCCCCCTCAACTGCATTCTGGAAAAGCAGAAATGCTTGGTCCGCAAACAACGGGAGGACTGCTCCTGAAAGTTATAAAGCGGGATCTGTATTGTGAGGATGGGTCCAGAAAAGAGATGGGACCTGAAGACCCTGTGTGAAGGATCGTAGTTAATAAGTTGAGTCTGGGGGCGCCTGGGTGGCGCAGTCGGTTAAGTGTCCGACTTCAGCCAGGTCACGATCTCGCGATCCGTGAGTTCGAGCCCCGCGTCAGGCTTTGGGCTGATGGCTCAGAGCCTGGAGCCTGTTTCCGATTCTGTGTCTCCCTCTCTCTCTGCCCCTCCCCCGTTCATGCTCTGTCTCTCTCTGTCCCAAAAATAAATAAACGTTGAAAAAAAAAAATAATAAGTTGAGTCTGAGGCATTTTCACAAATACTACTCCTGGACAAGAACTTCCAGTGAATTTCCAGTCTTCCTGCACCTCTCCATCTGAATAACGTCTGGCCAGAGGAGGAAGACGTTGTGTAGAAATAGTTCTCCACATACGTGGGCAGTTCTTCTTCCCTTTGCAGTGGCAGCAAGCTCCTCTGGGGTCTCTTCCTCAATCCTGTGGGACGTTGGAGGTCAGAGAGCTGGGGTACCTGTTAATACAGAAGATGATTGCCCAGCAAGCCACCTGTCACCGAGAACGCCAAATGTTCCATGTTCCACAGGACATGACTGTAAGTGTCAGTGGTGACTGTTTTCCTCAACGTCTACAGGCAGATTGTGAGTTGTTTTCAGTGACTATGAAGGTATTAGGTCCTGAACATATCTGCCCTTAGAATAATTAGGGATCTTCAATTACTTTCAGCAAGTTTTTTTAAAATTTATTTTGAGCATTAAATCTCTGAAGAGTCTGAGTTGGCCTCTATACTTTTCTTTTTCTTAACCGCCCCCCTTTTTTTAGTAGCGTAATCACATATCTTCTCCAAAATAAAGTTTTCACGTGTATTTTTCCTCTATTAATGTCTTGTTAGAAAAGTGTAACCTCTTGATTGCCTAGTATATATGTACACTTCCTTCTCACACATTTAACCTCAAAAATGCCCCTATTTATAACCAGAATCCAACTGTCTTCTGTGCAATTGCAAAACATTTTCACATTCTCCCCGATGGGAAACGATACAAATTCATTTACAGCTTCTGTACTGTGAGGTGACACAATTTAGCCACTCTTAGGAGTTCAGATTCATAATAGTGAACTGGATGGTGTCCACTCTTCCATTCGATTGGATTTTTTTTTAAATTTTTTTTTTTAACATCTATTTATTTTTGAGACAGAGACAGAGCATGAATGGGGGAGGGTCAGAGAGAGGGAGACACAGAATCTGAAACAGGCTCCAGGCTCTGAGCGGTCAGCACAGAGCCCGACGCGGGGCTCGAACTCATGGACCACGAGATCATGACCTGAGCTGAAGTCGGAGGCTTAACCGACTGAGCCACCCAGGCGCCCCTCCATTAGATTGGATTTGATTCATTGTGACTTCTTACCATCCAGCTTATGGGATAAATGATAAATGTGGCTCCTATCTACCTTGATAGAGTGAAGTGGAATAAAGATCAAACAAAAAAGGGGGAAAGAAGCGTCACTGATTACACTGATTACTAGTATAGAATGTGCACACATCTTGCTGAGCAAGCTTAGAAGGATGAATGATAGAAATAATGAGACTTGTAAGCATCTCTTTGTTGACTCTCTTATCTGGATGTAGACTAAGTTGTCTGGTCAGCCAATTTGGCTGGCTTAATCCTGAATTAGGGCCGCTTTCAGAAAGATAACCCAGTGAGAATTTCCGTACTGGTGGTGGGGGTGAGTGGCAGGGGCTCGAAGGTTTGAGAGGATGCTAGTGAACAGTTTTGATCTTAGCACTTTGATGTGAATCCTTGGTTCAGGAACTGCCATAATGTTGAACAGGTCTCTGTACAATAGGTTAGGGGCTTTTTGGACAAGTGCCTTAAAACTTTAATTAGCTCCTTAACAGTTTCATTTGGGGTCTCATCTCAAACACCACAAGTCTTATATTGTTCTTGATTTACTAGAGGGAATAGTCGTGACCCTTACAACACCTTTAGGGCTTTTCTTTTTCTTTCTTTCTTTTTTCTTTCTTTTCTTTCTTTCTTTCTTTCTTTCTTTCTTTCTTTCTTTCTTTCTTTCTTTCTTTCTTCTTTTCTTTCCTTCCTTTTCTCTTTTTTCTTTCTTTGTTTCCTTCCTTTTCTTTTTTCTCTTTCTTTCTTT